TGTTATCTGTTCCCATTCCCTTCAACACTGCATTACCCATTAATATTATTCTTTTGTGAGCCCTTTAATCTCCTTCAATCGCCCTTGACCTCGACGGCCCCTCCTTTATACCGGCTTCTTAACTGTCAAAATCTTCTTTTTAAAGCATTCACGAGTGACTAGTAATTGTAGCACGCAATAATAAAATAAAACAAGTGCCCCGAGCTCCTACTAACCTACATAACGTCTAATTAACGGCCCCTATTATTCCACCCCTTCATACCAGCATATTAATAAAACCACAATTGAACACCCTCGGTAAACTCCACATAATCAATTTAGTTCGACACTCGGCAATTTTATAATCGCATCGAGTTATTACTAAGGCGCTTCGTGATGAATTAGCTAATATAATTTAACAAAGGCTGTACTTATTAGGCCTTTATTTTATACCCTATAGAAACCGAATAGGCCCATGAATTAAACAAACGAACCCGATCCAAGATGGCCGCGGAACGAGAGCGGCTTTTTCGTTCCTTTTTTGAATTTCGAATAGGCGGCCGTTGTGACTTGTGAAGGGGTGAGGGAGAGAGCGGATCGTATTCCAGTTAGAAAAACAAGAGTGTCTAAGTTGGATATAGGTCCCTCAGTAATAGAGCAGTGCCTTGTGTTCGTACCTACAGATACTGTGTGATATCGGGAGCTTCGTTAAATACAAAGGACTTCTTTTGTGTTGGTAAGCCACTGAACTTTGTAATTTTTGAGTATTACCTACAATCTTACATAGAGTAGGACTATGTGACACCTGAATAGCTTACTATAAACAATAAGATCAGCTACTGTAAACGAAGTTGTGCTGATGGTGATAGGTACATGTGAGCAATTTAAGTTGCGCAGTAGCCAGTCGCAATAAGGTCAATATAGGCCACATAACAACCACCGGTTGTCACGGTCGCTTGCTTCCCCAATTTATAAGAATAAACGTAAAACATTTATGTTTCCTGTAATGGAATGTTTAAAACGGTGTATTTTTATAAATAGGTATCTGTTGAGGGTTAACGTACAATTTGGAAAAGGGCTCTGTTCTATCGAGATCGCGACTGCTATAAACTCGTGAGTTTTTGTGATCCTATCACTTCTCGGTTCAGGCAAAATATGTACGAATTTCTTTCTCTGCAGTTTTTATTGTAACCTGACTTTAAAAGTTCAGCAATAATATAGACTCTGCGCTACCATATTTTATCAGACTAGCAAGTAACTTTGTAAAAAACTAAACAATAAATGCGCAAACGCGGCTTTTAGATAGCTCTGGCACTACTAAAATCACTATACCTAAGTGATAAGACCGCCTTTGTGTCCATTACTATTTTTATTTATATTTATCATTTCCTTTTCTGTATGTACTGTATTATTAATGGTGTACAATAAAGTTATATTCTATTCTATTATATTCTATGGCAAGTAAATATAGGTAGGAAAAAAGAACAGATGTTACTTAAAGAAATATATCTATATACTCCAATATTCCGAAACAACCGCTTTTTACTACATTCATATGAATATTCATACGATACGACACATATACCAAAATAACACATTTTACAATTTTAGTCTGTCTGTTTTTCGTTGATAATCTCTGAAATGACTGGACCGATTTCGACGAGACCTTATTGACAGGTAGCTGATGTACTAAGGAGTCATATAGGCTACTTTTATTTTAGAAAAACGCAGACGAAGATGCGTGTACAGATAATTATCCAATACAACTATCCAATCCAATACAATTTCCTAAAAAATCAATGAACCGCAATCTAATGTCTTCTAGTCTCCTCTACCTTCTTATTCTTTAATGAAAATGTAAAACAATTTAGAGGTAGAGACATTATTAAAGTATACCTTAGTAATGATGTTATTCCGAAAACAATTGCAAAGGACTGGGGTAGATATGTAACTTCTAACCTCTTGTCATATGAGACACAATAGTAATAAAAGCTCCGACAAGAAAAGAAGAATTGTCCTTACTGAAAATATTAAATCTACTGCCTAAAATACTAACTTTCCGACTACTTCACGTGACTGTTTATTACTACAATACTAACCTAACCTAAAACGTCTGTTGTCGGTAACTAGTAATTTTGTCGGAGGTTCAATATTCTATTCGGAAGTTTAGTTTTGTTATTCGAAGATCCATTTTTATAGTCGGCCACAGATCGCTGGAGATTAATTTGTTTTTCGGAACCATTATTATTTTCCAATAGAAAAACATTGTGTCTCGCGTAGATCTAGCAGCGGCAGTTATACATAATTCAGAACAGGAGTTGAAAATATACTATATCTATTATCTCTTGCAGCCATCAAGAGTGATAGTAAAGTGCAGCCGGGCGTGCGCTGCCAGCCAGTCGGAAAGCATCAACCAATCGTTCAGAGAAAACAGTTGCCAACTAAATGCGGGTTCCGGTCTCCGGTGCAACGCGAATTATTTATTGTTGTTTAGTAGGGTTAACCGTAAAATATTGGTGTATACTGTTGTAATTTTAAAATTAAGTTTTTGACGCCAAGTTGTATTACCTACTTTGCAAAAATTGTAACGCAAGTTCCGCCAGACCTATAAATTATTTCTAGTCAGAATTAAAAAATAGGTAATGTCATTTTAGTGTAAATATATATCCAAGTATCTGATCGAGGTACAGAACTCCCTTAGCCTATTTTACATTCCATTTCAATCAAACGTAAACCCCGCTTTGTATATTTTCAGATTGTTTAGCACTGATCCAACCATCGCAAGTCGCAAACTGTCACAACCTATACAGCTCACTTCTTACAAGAATCAACTGCAGCTGTCTCCTGCTGGAGTGTTCTAAAAGTCTCTAGAAGCTTCTAGAAGTTCTCCAGACGTACCTGGGCCTGGTAACTCCACCACCGTTGGCGGTGCGCATGCGCCAACGGGGGCAGAGTTCCTATTCCTAGTTGCGAGGTTCCACAATATAAAACAGAAGACAGAAGAATTGAAGGCTATATAACCTACTGTTTTGATTCTATAATTATGTATCGTTTGTTGTTTATTTTTACTCCCACTAAAATTATTACTATGTATGGTGTAATTGTACTGAAACTGTTTGTAGAATAATAAGCGCCTACAATTATTGAAAGAGCAAACAAAGCAGTAAAATGTTTAGATCAATATAGTATACTATTATATACCTAGCTGCTATAGCTATAAGATAAACTATTATTTATTTTCAACCATGATCGTATGATTAAGTTAATAATGTGTCAAGTTATTATTGTTAACTTCGTACCTATAAACTTCCTACGTAAATAAATATATAATTCGACAAATATACTGAATACCGTACAGAAAACTAACTACCCACTGTTGCACCAACATAACATTGTAATGGGGGCTACCATATTTTTGGTCATCAGGTAGCGCAAATGTAGGACGACATCTTTAGTCCAATCACAACAGTTGTCAAATATTGAACATCCATTGACGTGACACTAGCCTATTCTCTATTGGACTTAGAACGAGAGGTTCACATTATCGCAATCTAGTGAACAAAAATACGGTAGGCCTGATTAATAGATAGCAGTTGAGCAGTTCTCTTAGGCTTGAGAAAGTGATCCAATTACCTAGGTACAGCTGTACCTTATTGGTTGCTGACTGCAATAGAAACAAATCAAACAAGCCAGTAGGTAAACAAAAGACAGGGTACTTACATAAATCAGCATCACTGCAAACTATTGGAGTTTTCATTACAAGTTACACTTACTTAGATACAAAACACTACATCCGAATATTGAAAGGCTACTCAATATCACTACAAAACATAGGTAGACACGTACCTAAAGTTAAGTACTTTTATGAAACTACACAAATATCAGAACATTACTTAAAACATCCTACTAAAGGTATGGTACGGTCTATACCGTTAAACACCCCTTAACATGTATGGAACCTTTTGGTCCTCGGAAGGGTGAATTACCTAAAGTCCTATACCATATAAAATCCACTTTTCATCAACGTTACAAGTCCAGAATAATCTAAAAGCATAGTCTATTGGTATTATAATCTGCTATTACTATGCCCGCCATCGAGAAGGAACAATGGCAAATGATCTACTGTGACATCACGGCAGACGGCAATCGACTTCATTTATCACCAGTTCATTAACTAAAATCACGATAGTTATTATGAAAACATCACCAGTTCAGTTGTCTCATTGTCACTTTTATATAAGTAACAGTTGTTACAGAAATACAACTTTTATACCAGATTCCATCCTGTTAGGTACTGAGAATTTCGAAATATACACTAGTACAAAAAGCAGAACCTAATTTCAGCAATATTTTTCACAAACGACAAGTCCAAACTAGTTCCGAACAATGAACTAATAATTCAGATGAAGGGTAATCTAAATCTTACTCTATATTTCACAGAATCGGGCTCTTAGTCTTAGCACGTGTTACTTTTGTCAATTGTCGAGCGTACCTATTCACTGGACTTCATCATGAACAACAAATGTATAATTTCTAACTTTTACAATACGTCGCTTTCTGATAACAATGGCCGTCAAAATCTGTAATCGTAACGCCTTATAACCTTCAAAAGGGTAAGTAGTAGAACATACTGCACCTGTACAATGTAACACCACTTTTCACCAGCTTTGTTTAACGAGACCCACGTAATAAGAAATGAATTTATCGCCATCTACCGGGCACAATTGAAGACTACTGAGAATTTTTGACAAATCAAAAACCTCAAAATCTTTTTGTTTTTGAACCTTTATCAATCATGATTAGGACGACTCATTACTAAAATATTTATCACGCGGTTCATCTCTTCCCCCGTTCAGCTCCTGGAAAGCCTACCTGACTTCTTCGATCTTCCGACCCGTGGCCCTACTGGGCCACTACTAAGTGGATCATTTTAGATTATGGTACGGTGCGTACACACATATTAACACATATACCTAAAAAGGGGCGAAAACGGCACAAAGGTGAGTAGACAAACGAGATAATTATGAATGACTTGTTTTATTAAAATTATACTCTATATATCTCACTACAGTAGACAGCCCTCGGCACCGCTATGAAATCCTTTCATTTTGCCAGTATTTTTACTCAGGACCCTATTTCCATTGCGCATGACCATCGGTCACGATATTTTCTAAAAGAATTATTATTTTTATATACCACCAAATAATCTGGTACTGAGTAGACAATTGTATTATATCCTACTTATACTATAAAATAAATAAATAAAATACAATGAAATAAAAAAGCCATTTATTTCTTTATATAAATAATGTAAAATGTTTGCAGAATCTATCCGGATAATGTCGAATTTTCAGATTACTTGGTGGTATTTATATTGATTACAAAATGTAAGATAATGTATGCTTAATATTAATTGCTAACTAGTTAAAGAGAAACTGGAAGTCTATAGGTTTTGGCGATGATAAAATAGACGTTGTTTTTGGCTAAAGAGAATCACCTCTTTAGCATATCGTTTCAGGTGGACAACGACCCACCTACGTTTATGAGTTTTACTACTCTGAAGAAAAAACAAAAATAGAAACTATAATAATACATAGATAGTGTAAAAAGGAGATTATTACCTAGCTCCAATCTGTTGCTGTCAATATCATAAACGAGTCAAACCAAGGATATAATGGCTATACATTAATTGTTTATCGATATCATATGATTTTGAAGTGATTACCTTGCTCCCATATATATTATTTTATAACACCCTGAGAATCCAACAAGAAACTATGGCAAGAATACACTAAAATAAGAATATACACATAGTACAAAAAAGTAATACACAAATGTGTAGTTTGCAACGTCTATTTATCTATCTGCCTGCCTTACTATGACGGACGCCACGTCACGGCGCAATGGAAACAGTGGCCCACACCGCAACGCACGCTATGATACAGCAAATCATAATTACGGCTACGACTTCATGATTATATATCAGTTCTTGTAACTAAAGCTATGACAAAATATATTATATTCCAATATTAGTTCACCTCCCGTCCAACATTAAAAAATACAAAACATTTGCGTAATCCTATCTCTTCCTTATCCACCATTTATTAGAAACACAATACAAATAAAATTTCAACCATTTTCCTTTGTAGCGACCCCAGAATTGACATCGGTACAAAAATCATACAAAATGATGATAAAAACATAACCACTTGGCACCTCGATAATTTGCACACGAAAATAAACCTTATTGACGTTTGTACTACATACTAGAGTATCATTTATGGTTTGAGCAATATGTATACATTTAAACACTGATTTAGACCTAAGGTCCTATTAAATAAAGGCACTAATCCATTGCTATGTATTTGTTTCACAACTTCTTTTTCATTCCAATAAATGTTGATCTGTCACAATATATAAAGTCTGTTTAATGCGAGGTCAGTTTATAATGGAATCTAGCCTTTCTAAAGGAGGTATATCTCAGGAACAATAATTAAGCAAAGATCCACTATAGCTATTCATTATGAAAATTCTATTTCAAGACACCAATTTTCTTAACGTTAATGCCCCGATTTTGAAAAGATATTATTATTATTTATTTAATTAACATAGCAGAATATTGAAAGCTCTTATTTGACATAATAATATGTAATGTATGATTGTATCAGAAAGACTTGACTAAACAAGTGAAAAACAGACTATGAAAGGAAAGTTCATACAGCCGCTTCAAGAAGACACAGGGAGATGTGAATCATTACAGTTATTTGCTAAGAATCGGTATTTATTTAATTTGTTGGAAAAAAAATAGAAAGTTGTGAGACTATTCCTGAAAAAAATTCAATAAGGTTCGAGTTCTTTTTTTGAGTTTTACCATCGAGACACATATAAAACCTATAAATACAGAGCCACATTTGGATATTAGCGCAGCATATTTGAGTAATAGCATTGGAGGATTAAGTTTTTATTTTCTTAACGTCACATAGTCATTATTAGCGCAGTTAGGGATGGCGATTCTTACTGAAAGGATGAATCGATCCACAAAAAAACGGGGTCTAAAAGATTGATTTCCAAAAAATCGATAAGTTTTCAAATAGTTTTAACAATGTCAAATCAATCACAGTACAGAGATACAATAAGTCAAAAATTATAAATGTAACTTTTTTTATTGATCAGAAGTGAGGTGAAGGAGACTAAACATACAGCCATCTCGGCAATTAACCGGCTGCACTCTAGTAATACGGGCCTTCAACTAATTGTATGTTTATACCAAGACATAAAAAATCGTATCTCGACCTTAGGATGTTGAGATCGATTCAATGCATAGGATAGATTAAAAAGATCGATTTTTTTTTTGCTCCAAAGGATTGATTCTTCGATTAATCGGTTTCAGATCGCCATTCCTATAAGGCGCTTGAAGTCATTTTGGGATCAAACCTATCCCAGGCGTACCTAACATTGTAGGTACATATTATTGTTTACAAAAGTCTAAGGCATTCATGTTTTGATAAAAACATATTTCTATTAAAACACCAATTAGTATCACACGTTTTCCAATAACATCTATAACCAGTAATATCACCCTTATTACATGGAAGCTGAGTTCAAAATGCTTACTTGTATTCCGACTATCGTTACAAAAATATCTACCTCTAGTATGTAGTACATAACATGTTGAAAAAGTAATAAAAAGAGGTTGAAAATAATAATAACGCCGTATCATTAATTATATGTAATAATGTATATAATAGTAACTATTTACAAATGACTCGTAGTGATGATTACAATGCGCTTATCGACCGCGTTCCTATAACGCCTATGAATATTTTTATAATAATTTATTTGTTGTGTTACCTGTAAACAAAATAATGTGATGTTAAATGTATGTGACAGTATACGATACTATCTTTTGATAGTAGAAACTGCATTACACAAGTATGTGGATATAAAGTTTATGCTTCCATAACGCGATCATGTATGTCATGACGTGATCTTACGAATGATTACCAATGTCGTAAAAGTATAAGCTCTGAATTAGAATTTATAACATTGTGATATTGTTCAGAATACTGGGGACCTGCGGGGAATTTGCAATTATTAGTAATGTTAATATTATACTCCTTCATATTAGTGAATACCTATGTAGGCCTGCAGGCGGGCGAGTGCAGGTCCCTGTCCACGTTCCCGCTGGCGAAGCTAATGTTGAGTAGCATGGCCTCGAACGGGTCGCTGCGCATGCGCTGCTGGTTAGCCTGCGCTGCAGACCCAGAGTCACGGATGATGCGGCTCTCTTCTTTGCCATCCTGTAGGATAAACAAAAAGAATTATGAAACATTATAGGATAACAGCCCGAAAGACCTCGTTTACGGAGACGTCACGTCGGGCTTCCGTCGTATATTGCTCGTATGTGTTTGACGTACGTAACGTAATATACGACACGAATCCCGTGTCTCCGTAAACGAGAGCAAACAGTCCACAGCTCAGATGTATTATTGATCTCCTTTAGATAAGAGGGGTTCGCCATAACGTTCACTATATTACCACGTAACGCGTTGTATATGATCAAGTTCTACGTCCTAGAAGGAACTTTACCACTAACCGATAGAAGTTAGATTTTACAAGCCTAAAAACTCCATTATGATGACCTTTGTATCAGCAAGGCATCCACTGCTGAACATAGTTATTAAACATTTTACCTTCAAAAAACTTATCCATTATACTATCCACACCATATACGTATGAAATCCAATGAGTAACAACCTAATCAGCACTTGGAAGCTCATTAAAGAGTATCATCATGAATCATGTTGAAATTTCCCTTGTTCCGTTTCTTCAAAAATTGTATATTACAGGAATACCTTATATTATAGGAATACGTTAAAACTACACTAGGGAGCAAACAACTGGAAGCACTAGCGTTTTTCTTTGTTCATTGATGTTCGTTCGTGATAAATATTTCCTGTTATAAATATTATATTAATTGGTAATTCGTATACCGTATAAAAGGCAATCTAATTAACTTTAGAACGAGGGTATTTTGTTGAAAAACTAATCATGTTCATAGAAGTAATAGAGGGTTCTTAAAAAAATACGCTATTTATTTGTGACAATTTTGATGCGCTCCGTTTAAAAATTTTGACAAATGGTCCTTGCATTGAAGGCTGGCTGTGGTCTGCATCAGTACTTCAGCAATCAGTATGTAACAAAATAGATTCTACACCTGAGGAGACGACTCAAATTGGGATGATGACAAGGTATGAAAATTAAAAATATAATTAGTCCGTAAGTTAAGTAATGAAAAAATATTAGAAAATATTATTTTTTTATTTTGTCGAATAATAAAACAATACTTAGATAAAACGAATTAAAGTTTAGGAGTGCGGGCTAAAACGTCATTTCTACGTATAAAATGTACATAGAAGTGACGTCACGCGACATTTCAAATAAATATATCGTCGAAAGTATTCGTTTTTGTAAGAAAATAAAAAATACGTGTCTAATGATTTAAAATAATCTACAAGACGGACATTAAAATAAAAATTAGGCGTCTACCCTATTGTATATTTACTATAAGGTTGGACGCGTACAACGTGAAGTGGCTCGCCGACTTTATCTAAATCGATCATGGTAAAAAATGTATATAAGGGGTACCTAAGGACCGGGGACCTTTGTTGGCAGACCTGGTATAGGTAGAGCACAGTACGAGACGACCGGCTCATTGCAACCATTGCGTTACGTAACCATCGCGCCGAGGATGGCTCCAGCAACTGCTACGTGTCGGGCGGGGGGCGGTTACATACTGTCCGGACTCTCCTCACTGTCGTCGTCCGACAGTGAGAGGAGGTGATAGGGAATGAAACTTAATGGCTCAAAACCCAGCAACTAAAAACAAAACATTTAACACATCACTAGTGGATCCGTTCCTGGCTCCCGAGTGTAATCATCCTTGTCACACAAGTATTGGAAAATTCTGACAAAATTAACTGAAGAACCAATTTATATTTGACACCAACTAACGTTATGCAGAAGTCGGTTTAATGATGATATGATATGATATGATTATAATGAAACGAACATTAAAAATCTATTTTGTGCATCAGTTAAGTAAGAAAACACTCACTTCACTTATACAATGAAACAAATCAAAGTATAGGAGTAGGAGTTAGCTACGTCATTTCTAAGTATAAAACGTACATAGAAATGACGTCACGTGACATTTCAAATCAATATGTCGTTGAAAGTATTGTAAATAATTTACTAGACGGACATTAAAATAAAAATTAGTCATCTACTCTACTTTGCAACAAAAACAAGTTAGTTAGTAAACAAAGCTATAATCCATACCTCAGGTCGTGGACTCCAGAGCCGCACCACGGTCTCGATGCCACTGGTGGCCAGCAGGAACATGGAGGGATGCAGCTGGATGCAGTTGAGGATGGAGTCGTCTCCGCGCATGCAGCGGATTATATTCCCAGACTTACGACACCAGATGAACAGGCTGCCGTCGTCAGAACTGTACGGTGCGGAAAATTGTTAGCAAGGTATTTGGTTCTAACACTTTACTTCATCATACAAGCAAACTGCTTTTAAAGTGTAATGAAAGAAAATAATAATCTTCTGTTTGTGTTGCTATAAGTATTCAATGAAATATTATACAGCAAACTAGGCTGTGATCTTTACAATATTGGAAGTGATTTGGAAAATTCATTTTGGTTCGTCAATATTTCGATGGAAAGTGAACAATGTGTAGACAAGTCTCCATAGTAATCTTATAAAACGTTCTTTTTACCTTAGTCTTGAGGCTAAACCTTTCATACCTTTTTAAATGATCACACATACATTTATATTTATTTAGTTATACATACCCAGCAGCGATATAGTTGGCATCAGGTCCGAGGAAGTTGGCCTCCTTGATGTCGGTGGTGGTGTTGCAGTGGCCCAGTAGTCGCTGCGAGTAGTCGAGGGCGGCGCCCCGCAGCTGTCGCTCGAGGACGGACGTGGGCTGGCTGTCCTCCGCCTCCGCGGCTGCTGAATACGGAATGTCACTCACGCACTTTACTTCGTTACGAAGGGTATGTCCTATAAGTCGTTTGGTATCAGTACCAAACGACTATGGGACCAATTGTAACCGTATAGTCAAAAATTATGATCAGTTTATACTTTAAGTAGGAATGATGACATAGAAAAGCCAAATATAACATTGTTCTGATTATTTCGAACCCAGAGGTGCGTGAGACCGGGATTACTTTCCAAGATTCAGTGCACATCAATTGTGTTACATAATGTTAGACAAAACGGTTCAATATGCTTTACCTTAAAATCAAATTCCTTTATATTTTAAGTAATTTTGACTCAATAAATCCAAAGTTAACAATGTCATAAAGCATTTTGATCATAGCTAGCTATATCAACCATATGTGATGAATGAAAACCATCCAAACATGTATTAAAAGCAACTTAAACAATGACAATTAATGTACATTATAAAATACACCAAGCTACCTTCATCTGGTGTAGTCTCCATGTTCTCCAAGGCGACGTTGATGTCCTTCTGCAGTAAGAAGACAGCGTGGCTGGTGGCGTGGCGAGGGAACTTGTCCTTGAAGTACAGCAGGCACTCGTGGGCCTCGCGCGCCCGCTTCAGGTCCATGAGGCCCTTCGCCAGCCGGAAGTGGGACTTCACGTGCGACGCGTCCAGCTTTATAGCCTTGTAACAGTCTTTTATTGCCGCGTATGTGTCGCCCGACCTGGAATTCAGATAAAAGGAAATAGGCGTAATCGTCGCAATTAATACACCGAGCGCGTGACTAGATACTAATAAATTTAAAAAATTGGGAGTTGAACGTGAAACTTATGCTTTGTTCGCACTACGCTTGTATTTAAGTCGAGTGGCGAGTATTTAGAAGCCTTCTCTCGCTTCTGTCCCAAAATCGAAGCGAGAGAGAAGTATTAAAACTCGGTACTAGACTAAAATACTAGCGCAGTACGAACAAGGCTTTAAAGATTGACAGTCACAACTAGTGACTTATGGGTCAGTAACAGTGAGGTTACAACTTGCGAAAGACCAGAATAGGTCAGAGTACCACTGTTAAAGATGCCAAACAGCAGAAATTCTACAATGGCTACCACGAATGATATATACCGCCAGAATTGGAACTGAAAGAAAGGACACTTCTCCATTTAACTACTTAATAATGTGCAGTCAGAGGACATAACATTATTGACAGCTAGTGTGTAATGTGTATTATATATTACTAGCGATCCGCCCCGGCTTCGCACGGGTGCAATATGCATGACATAAACCTTCCTTAAGAATCACTCTATCTATTAAAAAAAACCGCATCAAAATCCGTTGCGTAGTTTTAAAGATCTAAGCATACATACGGACATACAGCGAAAGCGACTTTGTTTTATACTATGTATTGATGGTTAACTGACCAGCCTCGCCTCATGAGCGCGGCGGCCCTGTTGGAGTACAGGATGGCGCAGTCGGGACAGAGCGCGATGGCCTCGTTGTAGTACTCCACCGCCGTCGGGTAGCTGCCCTTGTTCACGAAGTCATTCGCCTGGAAACACAGACACCACGCATGAATATATGTTCTGGATACAGAGACGACATACACAGAGGCTATGATAATGCTGTACAACTTTACGAATACTGCGTTTACGACTGCCTCGTTGGCCGAGTAGTCGCAAGTGCGACTGCCAGTCAAGGGGTCTCGGGTTCGGTTCCCGGGTCGAGCCAAAATTTATTGAATTTTTATCAAAATCTTAGTAGCAGCACGGAGTCTGGAATTGTGCCCGGTATATGGCAATAGGCTCACCCCCTATTACATGGGACTCATAACATAAATAGTGAAAAGTGGGTGTTACATTGTACAGTGGCATAATGTACACCTCTGCCTACACCTTCGGTGATAAAAGGCGTGATGTTATGTTATGTTACATAAACTACATACACAGAGGCTATTATAATGCTGTACAAGTTTACAAAAACGAATGTAAAGACAAGATAAAAATCTTCACCATTTCTTTAAGTTGCCTGACGCGGTCAGGTAGTTGTGGCGGTGGTGGCTGAGGGGGGGGAGTGGTACCATTGGTGCCATTCCTCAGCGGCTGCTTGGCGTCCGAGGTTCTATTCCCGTGGTTGTGCTGGATGATGAAGCTCTCGACCAACACCGGCCGCCGCGCTGCGTTTATGTCGAATATGTATATCTGGAAACAGAAATATCGTCATGAGTATTGTAAGCTATTTATTGTCATTAGTATACTACAAGTTTTGTTATTGCTATGCTATGTTTAAATGTAAAAAGATAAACCTTTTAGTTTTGATTGAGACAATTTTCCATGAATAATTGTTTAATTAAATAAATAGAAATGACACTGCATAAACCCAAACATTAACTTGAAGCTTCATATTAAAATATAGTAGCTAATTAGCTATTGCTATGAAACAAGTTACAAAATGAATATAAACACCAACGATGAACCATATTCTGTAGTAATTTTAGATCAGCAGCAATTGCATTGAGCAAACGTGATCGTGGTGATTGATGCTCAATCCATTTCAGTGCGAAAAAAGGACTTTGGTCAGCAACAATGTTTCTGTATACCTGTTCGGAGCCGAGATTGACGAGCAGTTCGTTCCCATCATTACTGAATGCTACGTACGTCGTAGCCTTCTTAGGGAACGTGTGCTCATTCGGCTCCATTGAGAGGTGGCCTGCAAACACAAACTATTTATTAAAACACTGCTACATAAATATTACTGCAAGGCCAATATTAATATACTGCACGGTTGGCACTGTACTGACTGAAATCATAATCAATCTTTCAATCTATCAATCGTTCAATCGTTCAATCGTTCAATCGTTCAATCTTTCAATCTGTCAATGCTTCTATTTTCAATCTTTCAATTCTTTAGTCTTTTAATTTTTCTATCTATCAATCGTACAAATCTTTCAATTGTTCAATCTATCAATTATTTAATCTAGCAATATATGAATTATTTAATCTAGCAATGCTTCAATCCAATGCTATCAAACTGTGAATCTTTCATTCTTTCAATCTGTCAATTTTTTTTTAAATAATATTTTACCCCACGCTAGGGTTATTTACTGTGTCGTGGGTGCGTTTATAAAATACAAGTTCATATACACATGACACCCAGACCCGAAACAACAATATGTGGATCACACAAAGTGTTGTTCCGTGCGGGAATCGAACCCGCGACACGTTGCACGGCAGTCAAGTACCCGTTAGTCATGTGTATGTGTACTTGTGTAACTTCTAAGTTTGTAAAACTTCTAAGTTTGTAAACGCACCCACGAGTGCCCACGACACAGGAGATAATCCTAATGTGGGGCAACGTTCTATTTAAAAAAAAAGAGTGAGTGAGTGAGTGAGTGAGTGAGTATTACATCAGTCGTGAGTGAGTGAGTGAGGAGTGAGTGAGTGAGTGAGTGAGTGAGTGAGTGAGGTGAGTGAGTGAGTGAGCGAGCGAGTGAGTGAGTGAGTGAGTGAGTGAGTGAGTGAGTGAGTGAGCGAGTGAGTGAGTGAGTGAGTGAGTGAGTGAGTGAGTGAGTGAGTGAGTGAGTGAGCGATTGAGTGAGTGAGTGAGTGAGTGAGCGAGTGAGTGAGTGAGTGAGTGCGTATCCGCTGCAGCCGCAAGTAGTGTAGTACCGGGCGCGAAGTAGTGCACGGCGGCGCGCGGGATGTTGTTGTCGGGGTCGCCGTGCCCGGCGCGCGAGCAGCGCATGTTCTGGCGCTCCCACATCTGGCGCGACGCCGGCCCGCTCGTCTGCGGGGCCACACACTGGGATTACTCACTTTTTGATCACATAATCCAATTAAACCACAGTTTATAACGTACAAAGGATTAGATTTCTGATGATGCGAAGATATTGTTCAATTTCATGGACCTGACACATTGATCTCTTGTGTATTAATAGTATATTAGGGTACGATGGGACTGACATACACTGTGCGTTATAAAAGTCCATACAATATAAGCTAAGTTCAAGGTTATTTTTTTGAGGTGGAATAATCATCAAATGACTTCTCCCGCCTTGAGTGAGGCAAGAGAGTGTGTCAGGGTGCTACTGACTAAAAACAACCCCGTCTCTACTCCTGCTTCCAGTCGCAGTTCCATTAACCCGTTAAGTTGTGTAACCCACAAATTCAGTTCAGCAAATTCAGGTTTAAGGTATCGAAACACAACAAACTGAATCAGCCTTCAAGCTAAATTAATATAAGTTTTTAATACTTTACATCAACAAGATACCATTGTAGATTATCGAAAAACATTTAATTAATTTAACTTAAAACAAATCTTGCAAAAATATTAGTTTATTACCTGTAATCTAGCCAATTTGATCATCCTAGTATCGTAGAGCCGTACATAGAAGTCGTTGGCTCCGACTGCGAGCTGGTAGGGACGGCGAGGGTTCACAGCAACGCATTTAGCCTCAGCGTACCGTCCTAAGTGGTTCAGTAAGTTCACCAGCACGTTGGCTGAGTCTGGGTTACAGCTGTGAGACATGCGTAAGTCATGTTGCCTGGAGACAACGGTCATGATGTTAGTTTCATTATGAAGTGGAAATACAGGTCTAATAAACTTTCCATCTAATTGTAAACAGTTTTGTGTTTTTTGTAGATGGTTTCTGCAGTCTTGGTTAGTAGCTTCCTGTCAGAGATGCTCATACGACAAATAAGCAACTAACATTTATGGCTAACTGTGGCTCCTGAAGAACGAACATAATAATAAATAGGTATCCTGTGTAACTCTTCTGTAAAAACCTATTTTTTCTCTTCAGTAGGTAATTACCATATATTTAAGACTGGAATTATCTTACTTCTATCGATGTACACAAAGCACCGCTAATTAGTTCGAGGCGCTACACATCGACATTACTATCATTTACACAGTGAACATGTGTGGGTAATTTCATATTAATAGATATGTATAGAAACTATCGTTCTATCACACACATCTTGGTATTACATATCATTTTTGTGTCGGTATACGTAATATTTTAGTAAATAAGTTTAAATAAAAACGAGGGTAAAGATAAAAATACTCATAACAAACTTTGAATAAATCGAAATCAAAAATAATGAACGATCGAGCAATACAATACTTATATAAATATAGTGCATTCTCATTGTATTTTTATGTTACTGAATGATATACAATATTTCGATGTTCTCATCTGCGGCGCGCTTGGCGCAATGGTTATCGCCTCCAGTGGTCAAGTAAAGTGCCACCGGATCGATTCCAGCATTCACATGTTGTTTTAGTATTAATTAATCAAATATTTGAAATGTGAAATTAGAAACAATTAAATCTTTTCTTTTTTTCCTATCCTTTTTTTCGTCACATTTTTTTTACTAACATACAGCCCACTGAATATTGAACCTTATAACAACCGTCGTAAAATAGATAATTAATTGAAGATTCAAACGACAAAAATTCGCCAAGAAATAACATGTTGAAATTTCAGTGTATTTTTTTTACATGGTTTACTTGTTTATTACTTAATGTATTATTAAATTACAAAACAAGAATGTTGTATTTGTTTATTACTTAATAAAAAATGTTGCTGCCATCGCATTACCGCATGATATTTCCCGATTCGACTATGAGGTTTATTGTCATATCTATTAATTATGATTGGAAGAACTTTAAAGTTAACATGTGGTATATAATTAATTATTAGATATAAATATTGAATATAAAACCACATATTTGTATAATTAATAAATTAATTTTAATAAAAAATAGTATTGTTTTATTTACCGACTGATTTGCTTCTTTTATAGCCTGATATTTATATTATATGACAAAAAACAAAAAAAAA